GCACTCAAAAAGGAACCTTTCTTTTGTTGGGTGGGGATTTTACTCCGGAATCTGGCCAAGGAGCATGCTGTCAAAACACTACCTGGACCACACTAGCAACTTTGATTTGACAAGGAATTCTTGTTTTTAAATTTGCAGAACTATTCTTTACTAACTATTGTTTACCTTTTAATTTTGTCTATGCACTGTTGTTTTTTCTCTTTTTCCCTGGTGGATAGAAGTTTTACTTTTTTCTTTTTTTGAGACAGTCTCTCTCTGTCACCCAGACTGGGGTGCAGTGGTGCAATCTCGGCTCACTGCAACCTCCTCCCCAGTTCAAAAGATTCTCCTGCCTCAGCCTCCTGAGTAGCTGGAACTACAAGTGTCTGCCACCATGCCCAGCTAATTTTTGTATTTTTAATAGAGACAGGATTTCGCTGTGTTGGCCAGGCTGGTCTTGAATTCCTGACCTGAAGTAATCCACCTGCCTCAGCCTCCCAAATTGCTGGGATTACTGGCATGGGCCATGGTGCCTAGCCAGAAGTTTTACATTTTTATACGATGAAACCTTCATGATTTTTTCCTCCTTACTTCCAGATTTGAAAAATCATCTACCTTTGAGAATGACAATAAATATTCAATTGAACTTTTTTCCAGTCTTCTAATGTTTGTTTTTTAAAACATTATTTACTTTTATCCATCTTTAATTGGTTTTGCCTGTGGCTGTGGAAAAATAACAATCCCCATTGTATTTAGATTTGAATCTGCCAGAGAAAGTATTTATTTCCAACAGGCTTCAGTGGGGAAAACGAACACTAGTGACAGACCACTAGTAGATATATAGAAGAGAAGAATCTCTCTTCTTCTTCAAGTGAGATTCCTTGACACAGGCTGGTGAGGTTGTAGATAGTGACTTACTTGTCACAGGCAGCTGAGCTCCTGTTGCAGCTGTAGTGAGTGCACGGGGTGCTATTGGTGTGCTGACCAGGTGCCTTTATTTTATTTTTTTTCAAGACGGAGTTTCACTCTTATCACCCAGGCTGGAGTGAAATGGCGCAATCTCTGCTCACTGCAACCTCCGCCTCCCGGGTTCAAGCAATTCTCCTGCCTCAGCCTCCCAAGTAGCTGGGATTACAGGCACATGCCACCACGCCCAGCTAATTTTTGTATTTTTAGCAGAGACAGGGTTTCACCATGTTGGCCAGGCTGGTCTCGAACTCCTGACCTCAGGTGATCCACACCCTCAGTCCCCACAAAGTGCTGTGATTGCAGGCGTGAGCCATCGTGCCTGGCCTTTTTTTTATTTTTGAGACAGGGTCGCGCTCTGTCTCCCAGGCTGGAGTACAGTGGCATAATCTCAGCTCACTGCAACCTCCGCCTTCTGGGTTCAAGTGATTCTCATGCTTCAGCCTCTGAAGTAGCTGGGAATACAGGTGCACACCACCACACCTGGCTAATTTTTGTATTTTTAGTAGAGATGGCGGGGAGTTTCACCATGTTGGCCTGGCTGGTCTCAAACTCCTGACTTCAAGTGGTTCCCATCCTCGGCTTCCTAAACTGCTGGGATTACAGGAGTGAGCCACCACACCCAGCCCCCAGGTGCCTTCTACCTGGCTGGCGCACCCACCCTCAGGTGCTGTGAGTTTTGGCTGCTGAGCACTCACAGCTTTCCCCTTCTTTTGAGAATTGCCTCACCCCAAATAAAGAAATTACACTACCTCCCCAGTCATAAGCAGTAAGCAATGATCGAGGCTCTGAGGCTGGTCCCCTTGCCTCAGTGTGGGTCAATTCTTCAATTCCTTTTTTTTTTTGAGACAGGGTCTCTGTTACCCAGCCTGGAGTGCAGTCATGCAATCATGGCTCACTGCCTTCTCGACATTCGAGGCTCAAGCAATCTTCCCACCTCAGCCTCCCAAGAAGTTAGTACTACAGGCATGCATCATCATGCCCAGCTAATTTTAGTAGAGACGGGGTTTCACCGTGTTGCCCAGGCTGGTCTCAAACTCCTGAGCTCAAACGATCCTCCTGCCTCGGCCTCCCAAAGTGTTGGGATTACAGGCATCAGCCATTCCCGGCCTCAACGTGGGAACTATTCTGAGTTGTAATCTAAGCTCCAGAGCTGGCCGCAGGATCAGGCTGAAGCTCCTCTCCAGACTTGAGACCCCAGCCTTGCTGAGCCCCTTCTCCCGCCTTCTCCTTCCCTCACTCCCTTTCCCCCATTGCATTCCTTCAAATCATGCGCACTCCAATCCCTGCCTCAGGCTCTGCTTCTAGGCAATGTGATCCAAGACAGTGAGGAAATCTAATTTCCTACAAATAACACTCTTAATACTTATAACAGGGACATGGTTTACAAGCTTTGTGGATATCATAGACTCAAGGTTACAGGTTATATATTAGAGAGTTTAAACACATACGTAATAAACTGTTATATTGGAGAGATTTTTTTACCCTTAAATATTGAAATGGTAGTGATCAGAGTTATGAGTGATAATAAGAGTATTTTTGAACTTAAGCTCTATGACCCATCTAGATAATATTTATTGTTCCTTGTTTTTCTGGGGTCCCTGGAAGTATAAACATTCTCCAATCCCCTTTTCTCATCTTACTGAGAAGAGAAATACCATCCCATGATTTTGAATTCTCCATGTGCTTTTGTTAAGGAGATTATCCTCTCTCAAGCCTTACAATTAAATGCCGTGTGTTATGTTACCTATCGTTTCTTTTCATCTCCATCAAAGTGGAATCGAGATTTCTACAGTGACATAAATTTATTATATGCTTCGGATTGTATCCAGCACCAACCATGGAATCATGCTTCTTTTCTTCCTTACTTATTACTTTCCAAAGACAATACTACTTCAATACCACTTGGATACCACCATTTTTCTTTTCCCCAAGCTTGGCCTCTAAGGATTTGTTATTCTCTACATCTGAAGAAGCAGAGATGCTGTGACTTGCTTGAATTGGAAATGCGAGATTTCATGCTCAGAACCCCGAGTTCCAAAGAGCCTTTCTTCCCCAAGCAGCAGCTCTGTCTCCTGTGTTTGCCCCTCTGTGGACTCCACTATTTATGTTTGTGTCACTCATCTGTCATGCAGTAACCCTTTCCTTGGTCCCTCTGAATTCTGTTGTGCTCTGTTGACTTATTAAGAATGAACGCTGTTTGCTCTGTGTTTTGAAAATGAACTTTAACACTCCTGAGTCTTGCTTTGGGTTTTTCTCTCTCTGTTCAAACAAAACAGTTGGAAGGTGGTTCAATATTTGTATATTTGCTTTTTTGATTTAGATTGTTTCTCCTTTCCTGAGAGCTTAAGGGTACTGTTGAAAGACCTTAAACAGCACCCTGGAGGAACTTAAGAGGTGGGCTTGGGAGCAGGGGAGAGCTAAGGAATGAAAGGCTTAGTTGAAGAAGAGGAAAGAGAGGGAGAGAATATCATTTGGTTTCTGTTTTAGGTGAATTCATGTTAGGCAGAACTTTTTCCAAAACCAGTTAGACTTGGATGAGGAAATTATCCAAAACTTGCAGATACCCCCTGAGCTTCCCTAATTACTTGGGCATCCTGGTTTATGATGCTAAGGCTTAGTATTTTAGAGATTAAAATGGGACATCTGGTCATCTTATCCCAACCACAGGTCACTCTGTCTAAGGCACCTGCCATAACACTGACCTCACAGGGTTGTTGCTAGAGTCAAATGGTATAGTTAGCGCTATAGATACTGTTATTATTGGTATCCCCGTGTTATATATGTGTTAAATGAGACACAAGAAAGTTAAATAACTTGCCCAAGATCACACAGCTAGTAACTGACATAGCTAGGATTTAAATCAAAGCACCACTCACAAGAGACAAAAATTCATAGTAAACAGTAAAATTAGGAGCCTATGTTATTTTTAAAATTACTATTTACTTATTTTATTATTATTATTATTATTACTTTCGAGACAGAGTCTCGCTCTGTTGCCCAGGCTGGAGTGCAGTGGTGCGATCTCCGCTTACTGCAAACTCCGCCTCCCGGGTTCACACCGTTCTCCTGCCTCAGCCTCCCGACTAGCTGGGACTACAGGCACCTGCCACCATGCCCAGCTAATTTTTTTTTTTCATATTTTCAGTAGAGATGGGGTTTCACTGTGTTAGCCAGGATGGTCTCGATCTCCTGACCTCATAATCTGCCCACCTCGGCCTCTGAAAGTGCTGGGATTATAGGTGTGAGCCACTGCGCCCGGCCAAATTACTTTTAAGGTTCAATTATTTAGGTTGTTTTGCATCTAGGTAATTTTCTTAGAATGAAAAAAATGTATATTTTGCTGAAATTTTTTCATAATATTCCCCCAAACATGATATGATAGCAGGATACATAATCTTCCACACTCAAATTTCCCAACATGATTCAAACGAAAATCATTTGTGCAAAATTATTTGAGCATTTCGTGAGTTTCCTCAAAAGCCTCTCCAAAGCCTCTGATATTCAAATAATTTTCTTTTGAAGAACCTGAGCAATTGGTTTGATTGAATTTACATTGTAGACTCATATAATTAGCATGCAGCTGCTCTGGAAAAATGGGATGTACAAGGACATAACTAGCATTAAGAGGAGAAATGTCTGCTAGAGTGGGGACTAATTTGATAATATTAGCGATATTTTCATCTTAAGATGACCTTTGCTTCCCTGTGCAACCTGGCAACGCTAAGACTTTGATAACGAGGGCTGAGCTAATGAGGACTCACTGCCATTTCAGACATTAACTATCCTGCCTTCCTTAGGGAACAACCCCAGCTTAGCTGATCTGATGACAGTATTTGGTGAATTTTGAGGCAGACCCTAGGACGGCACCCAGTGATCCCTGCCACCTGGTGCGCTCTTGTCTAATTCTCTCCCCTTGGGTGTGGGTGGGACTTGTCACTTGCCTTTAATCGAAAGATAATGAGATGTATGTGATTACATGCACATTAGTATGTTACAGAAGGTTGTAATATCCTTCTTGCTAACACATTCTTCCGTCCTGGTTTTGATGAATCAAGATGCCCTGCTGTGAGCTGCTCTATGGAGTGGTCTGTGTGGCAGCAACTGAAGATAATCTTCAACTGCCAGCCAGCAAAAATCAGAGGTCCTCAGTCCAACATCCCACAAGGAACCGAATTCTGCCAACAACCATGTGAGATGAGACTGCAGTCCTGGTCAGAAATGCGATTGCAGCTTTCAGAAGAGACTCTGGAATAGAGGACCCAACAAACGGATGCCTGGACTCCTGACCCAAACCCACAGCAATGGTGAGATAATACATGTGTGTTGTTCTAAGCTGCTAAATTTGTAGTCATCTGTTATTCAGCAATAGGTAACTAATACAATCATCATACTCAAAACAAATGGGTCATTTATTCTAATATTTATTGAGAGATCCCATGGGCAGCACACTGCAGCAGCTCTGGGTATACTATGGAAAACAAGAGAGAAAAGACTGTGACCTTCATGGAGCTTACAGTTAATGAAATAGATGACATTAAATAATTATTCTATGAGCTATACAGTCTGATGCTATTATCAACATTAGCATCAGCAACCAGTATCATAACTAATTGGATAACTATAGGTGAATGTTAGTGAACATTCACTGTAGTCATAAGTTTTAAAAGCAAAGCATCCATAGCAAGTCTACCTTTAAGGCTAGGTGTGGTGGATCATGCCAGTAATCCCAGCACTTTAGGAGGCCGAGGCAGGTGGAACATTTGAGGTCAGGAGTTCGAGACCAGCTTGGCCAACATAGCAAAACCCCGTCTCTACTAAAAATACACACAAAAAATTAGCCGGGCGTGGTGGTGCAGGCCTGTAGTCCCAGCAACTCAGGAGGCTGAGGCAGGAGAATCACTTGAACCTGGGAGGCAGAGGTTACAATGAGCCAAGATTGTGCCAGTGTACTCCAGCCTAGGTAACAAAGAGAGACTTCCTCTCAAAAAAAAAAAAAAAAAGAAAGAAAGAAAAAGAAAAAGAAAATCTACCTTTAAGCCGTATAACTTTCTAAAATTTGAGATGTTACTATCCCTTGTAAAACTGAGAACATGGGCCGGGCGCGGTGGCTCAAGCCTGTAATCCCAGCACTTTGGGAGGCCGAGGCGGGTGGATCACGAGGTCAATAGATCGAGACCATCCTGGCTAACATGGTGAAACCCCGTCTCTACTAAAAATACAAAAAAAAAACCTAGCCGGACATGGATGGCAGGTGCCGGTAGTTCCAGCTTACTCAGGAGGCTGAGGCAGGAGAATCGCTTGAACCCAGGAGGCAGAGGTTGCAGTGAACCGAGATGGTGCCATTGCACTGCAACCTGGGTGACAGAGTGAGACTCTGTCTCAAAAAAAAAAAAGAAATAAAATAGAAAATCAGTTAACTGCATCAAAATATACTCGATACAGTAAGGAAGATAATAATAGCAAAGACTGCCTTCCAGGCACTTTACATAAATGTTAATTAATTTAATCCTTATAATAAGCCTACTAAATAAGAACTGTCAGTATTCCCTTCTCCCCACTTTTTTAACTTCTGGGGAAATTGAGCCAAAGAGAAGTTAAGAAAGTTTTCAACATCTTCAGCAGTAAATCTGGAATCTGAACCCATTCAGTCTGACTTCACCCGCCCCCCCAACAAAAAAATAAATAAAAGAGGAGTCCAAGGAATAGATCTGCAG